CATTCCCTTCTTTAGAAAAAAGACTCTGCCTGGCTCCCGTTCAGTTTTTTTTTTGTTTGTTTGTTTGTTTGTTTGTTTGCTTTCTTTTCTTTTGGTATCTGGAGAAGGAACACTGGTTTGAGTCAAGATAGATCTCCATGTTTCTGCCTTTTGATATCTATGTGACTCATAAGAGGATACCCCATGAGGTAGGTTTTCTTAGCTCCAAGTGTCTTGAGACTAATGTATCTACATCATGGGGCACGGTAGTAGTTTCCTAGAGCTGCCATAACAGAGTACCACAAAGGAAACTAAATAAATAATAATCAAATCCTTTGCCATTGAGCTGATTCCAACTCACAGAAACCCTGTAGGAAGGAGTAGAACTGCCCCATAAGGTTTCCAAAGAGCAGCTGGTGGATTCAAACTGCTGACCTTTTGGTTTAACAGCTCTAGCTCTCAACCATTGCACCACCAGGTGGTTTTAAACAACAGAAACTTAGTATCTCGCAGTTCTGTAGGCTAGACGTCCTAATCCAGGGTATCAGTACGATCATGTTATCGCCAAAGGATCTAGGGGAGATCTTTTCTTGTCTTTCTCGTCTTCTTGAGGTTTAGCTCTATTTTTCTATATTTGCTAGTGGAATTAGGGTACAGTGTGATTGGAAAGCCCAACCACAGTCTGCAGTTAATGTGAAGACTAGTGACTGACTTCTCTCAAACATACGGAAGCTAAGTTTCAGTTGTCAGTGTCTGCTGGGCCCAACAAAGCCTTGATGTACTGCTTAGCTGAAAAGACACTACACTGCTTCCTAATTAGAACCACATGAATGTTTCTGTCAAGACAGAGCATTTTACTGTCAGATCATTTCCTTTTTGCCTCCAAACCAATACCAGACCAAAATAAAACCTCCCCCCACCAAACTCCGGAAATAGATGTATCAGCATGACAAAATAATACCATTGCTAAAACGGGTGTGTAGATGAGATACTGCCAGTTCCCTAATTAGTATGTCATTAGCAATACATTTTTCTTTCTAAGAATAACAGAGAATGGACTTTTATGACTTTTAATAAATGAGGTGAGAAAGTCATGCATTTCTGCCTAAATCCTTTTTCTGGTGGACTGTGGCATTTCAGTTGGTTATTCCTACATGAAAGGATATCTTGAAGTCAATAACTTGGTCAGTAACAGAAAGCTAGGACTTCTCTCAACCTCTTATAAATACAACCCACCCCCTTCACCTGGGTCAATCCTCCTTGAGTATCTTTTTCATTAAGTTATTTACCTGTTCAAAACTTTGAATGATTCCCTATTATTCCATCTCTTCAAAGTTAAGGAGTTCCATAATTTAACCATGTTCTATGGTCCATGGCTATTTCCACTTTTTTTCTTGTTAGATACTTCTCTTAAACTAAAGACTAATAAGATGGTGATGATTGAACAACATGATGATCCTAATTAATGTCACTGAACCGTACACGTGAAGATTGTAGAATCTGTTACCTGTATGTTGTTGTCGATATTGTTAGATGCTGTAGAGTCAGTTCTGACCCACAGTGACCCTATGTACAACAGAATGAAACACTGCCCGGTCTGCACCATCCTCACAATCGTTGGTGTGTTTGAGTCTATTGTTGCAGCCACTGTATCAATCCACCTCACTGAGGGTACTCCTCTTTTTCACAGACGAAGTCTTGCCATCCTCACTTCCAGGGAGCACTACGGCTGTACTTCTTTCAAGACAGACTTGTTCGTTCTTCTGTCAGTCAATGGTATATTCAATATTCTTTGCCAAAACCATAATTCAAAGCATCAATTCTTTGGCCTTCCTTATTCATTATCCAGCTTTCTCACGCATATGAGGCAAATGAAAATATCATGGCTTGGGTCAGGAGCACCTTAGTCCTCAAAGTGACGTCTTTGCTTTTCAACAATTTAAAGAGGTCTTTTGCAGCAGATTTGCCCAATGTAATACATTGTTTGATTTCTTAACCGCTGCTTCCATGGATATTGATTGTGGATCCAAGTAAAATGAAATCCTTGACAACTTCAATCTTTTCTCCATTTATCATGATGTTGCTTACTGGTCCAGTTGTGAGGATTTTTTTTCTTTATGTTGAGGTATAATCCATACTGTAGTCTTTGATCTTCACCAGTAAATGCTTCAAGTCCTCTTCATTTTCAGCAAGCAAAGTTGTGGGATCTGCATATCACAGGTTGTAAAAAAAGGGAAGAAAAAATATAATTATTATAATAACAATGCTGTTTTTTATTGAATAAACTTTGTTCTATGTACTCTCTTAAGAGTTGCTTTCATTTAAGCCTCACAATGAATTTATGCATTAATCTGATTGTCTTATTCTTATCGTCCCCACTAAGCATATGAGCAAACTGAGGCTCTGACAGTTAACTAATTCAAGGTCACTCATTCATGCCTATTTGATCATCCTCTTAAACATTGCACATTCCTGCTACCGCTTCTTCAGACATATTGTTCCCCTTGCCTAAAATGCACTGTCCTTTTTTGATTTTTTAATTTTTATGGTTGTGAAAATATAAACAACAGAATATTTGCCAGTTCAACCTTTTTATGTGTACAATTCAATAAAAACAATTACATCAATCATATTGTGTAAGCATCGCCAATATCCACTGCCAAATATTCCATCCTTATAAACAAAACTTTGTTACCTAAGCAATGGTTCTTCTTTCTCTGTTTCTCTAGTCCTCTGGTAACCACTATTTAATCTCTATACCTGTACTCCAGATTAGTGAAATCATACAAATGCACTCTACTTATCTCTGTTTATTTAAATCTTACACAATCTTCCCGGTCCACCTTAATTTCTACTCCTCAAGAAGCCTTTTCTTATGATTCTAGTCCTCATTGACTTCACTCAGAATTCCTGGAGTAGCTCATTACTGTTTTCATATTGTACGTATCTTGTCTTCTTCAATTGGATCCTTTTGAAGGGTTGGTTCTCATCTTTTACACCTCCCAAAGGTTCTAGCACTGCTCTGGAAAGATAGAGGATGCTCAATCAAAGCTTCCTTATTTGTAAACCTTTTCAAAACAAATACCCATCTGAAAGACATAAAGCCCTTGTTAAAGTAAGTACTTTTTTGAGCTTTGTGTCTTGCACAAGTGATGCTGACTTGCTTCTAAGAGACTCTGCGGAGTTGATAGTTTTCAGGAGTTGATCTCCAGGCCAAGTCATCAGAGAATATTTGCACCTTATTTGAATTAAAAGCAATCACTTGAAGCATTTAAAATAATTTTTGGAGGTGAATTCCATTTGGAGCTGAAAGCCATCCTATGTATATTCTCATAAGGATAATTTGAATCTAGGTTTTTGCAGGGAGAACCTGATGAGATCAGCTTTGATGACCTATGTGACAAGATGATTGACACCTCACTCTGTTCACTATATGACAGAGTCACAAAAATTGTACATTTATTGGTTAAGAATGAACACGTGCCTTGCCTTCGTGTAAATTACAGTTATGCCGTGGAAGAATTGTCTAACTCTTCCTTGGGCAACCAACGTTGGTAAAGTATTATCTGGTGAAAATAGAAAATTTTCCTTTTGGGGTTGAGAAATGTGAGCACAACGGTGTGCATTAAACCCTCATCAAATTGTGAGGCTGCATTAAGCCTCATGAAGGATTATGAAAGAACCACAGCTAAGGGTTTTACTCAAGGATAGGAAAAGAAAGTGAGTGAGTCGATGAGCTGGGCATACACAGATTAAATCACTTAATTAAAGAGAGGCAGAAATATCAAATGCTCAGGAATGCAAGATGCAAAATAAAAAAAGGTGATCCTTAGTACTTTTCAACATTAGTCAAGGATCACCGATGCCTAGAAAATAACTCATCCCACTTCAAATTCTGGAGCAGATTTCAAACTGATTGCACTCTCGAATGACCTAATTTGTTGCCTTCAAGTTGATTCAACTCATGGCGATCCCATATGTTACAGAGCAGAACTGCACCATAGGGTTTTATTGACGATAATCTTTTCGGAAGCAGATTGCTAGGCCTTTCTTCTGCGGAACTGCTGAGTGGGGTCAAATTGCCTACTTTTAGTTAGTAGTTGAGCACAAACTATGTGCATCACGCAGGGACTTTCTGCTATATACTAGCCTATTTGAAATCCAATATAATAACAACTTCAAGCTATCTACAGTACAAGGAGTTCTTAAAGTTGTTAAGTACTGTATTTTTACACAAATAATGCACATTTTCTATGTTTGCCAATCGCACCCTCTCCCCATCATGCGCTATGCTAAATTTTTACAGCAACAGATAAAAAAATTTGATGTGGGGCAGTTGTGAAAATACCTCTGAGGGGTGGGGGAGGGCGTGTTTAGCAAATGTAAAATGCATGTAATTTGCATAAAAAGACGGTAAATTGCTCAAAGACATGTGAATCCTTGTATAGCTGCTATACTTTCGATATACCAAACCTCTAAGTTATTATCCACAATCTGATCCACTGATTTACTTATCTTACCAATATTGGTGATCTCTGAGGAAGAAGTTGCAGTCACAGCATGATTAAGGGTGAGGAGATGGTGAAGGACAGGAGAATCAAGTGTGCATCCCTCCTTCAAGAAACTTTTCCAAGAAGGGCCTGGGAGATTCTAAGAGGGCATTAACTAGAGGGGGAAGCAGAGAAAAAGGAGCGTATTCCCACAGAGGCTGGAAACAGAAGACAGACAGTGGGACAGACCTGAGGTGCTCATAAAGATGGTCTTGGTGGGACTGAGAGAGGTTTTACTTCAGGGGCATATGGAGTCCTCGCCAGCATCTCCTTTTCATTGGACGTAGTTTCAGTTCTTGGTGTCATAATGTTGGATGTGACACCATAATTTTAGTAATGATGAAATCAAATTTGTCTTAAAAGGTCAGGAGCAGCATGTAAATTAGAGTTCTTAAATTTTTTTAAGCTTTTTATTTGGTCAGGGACAAAAATATCATTTCTGGTTAAGTCAAATGATGTTTTGCTTTCTAGACAAGCAATGGTTCTATCAGTGTTGGACTGAATTTGGCTTCTTTAAGACCACGGAGTTAAAGAATCGGCCCTTCTCTGGAACACCTCTCAGGTAAAGGCTCTGCCTTAAATTATGTTTGTTACTAGAAACCATGATTGCAGAGGTTTGGGTTTTTGTTTTTCCATATGTAAAGGGAAGAATAAATTTATCAGATTGGCCAATCCCAAACTGGCCAAAAATTAAGGGAGAAATCTTCTGGATGGAAATTTGAGAAATCAAAAATATTCCAATATGATATATAGAACAAAATCTCAGATTTCTGAATTTACCTTATGTAGTAGTTACCAGGAAACAGACTGTAAGTTTTAGAGGATTATTAAGAATAAATACACTAGTAGACTTAACCTTGCTTATTAGCATTACAGGGTTATTTTATGTAATACTCTTTTACCAAGAAAGTACTTTGTGTGTTTATTGAAAAATCCAATTAAATAACATGGTGACAGCAAATTTGCAAATAAAAGAAGGTAATTTGTCCATCTCTTTTGAATTCAGGTTAGCCAAGATTTGCCAGTTGTATAAAGCAGGACAGATTTCCCTTAGTCATCTTTATTCTCATTGGTTTATGATACTTTGTTCATATTACTGTGTTTGTAGAGCAAGATGTGACTCCTGAATTCTAGAATTATCCCTAGAAACAGAAGCTAATAAATATGAATAACCTTCAAGGCAATTTGACACTTAAAATTGCAGGAAAGAGATTCTTTATTTATAAGTGAGTATGTGTGTGTGTAGATATTTTGTACATAAAATGCATAGATATTATAACATGCAAAAATATGTTGAAGGATAAAATCATGATAAAAGTATAAAGTTGGGGGGGAAAGTATGAACTTGGAGCATATAGTTTCTCCTATCAAAGTCTCCAAACCCTCAAATTCCCTAATGAAAAATGGAGCTATGACTTAATCAAAGTCAAGTATATTAACTGGACCACAATTTTTAAGAGTGGTGTCTAGGGTGAACGTACCTGTATTGTGGCAAGCACCTACTGTAGCCTCACTTCTTTTGGTGTCTATTCCACCAGTGTGGTGAGAAGGCCCATCCAACTTTTTAGTCCTTTGCTCCTTTGCACATCATTTTTGCTCCTAGGGCACAAGAGGGAAAATCTTGCTTATTCCTTGGCTCCATTCTTCAGTCTTTCTTTGGAGTTCCAGACCCTTGGGGCTAGAACAACTGAAATGGGGTATATGGAAGAGCCTTGGGGCACACCTCTCAGCATTGGAGGCAGTCTCTGGCTCTCACTGCCTCTGGGCTCTCTTCCTCCTTAACAGCCAGGCAGGCTGTCTTAGTCATCTAGTGCTGCTCCAACAGAAATACCACAAATGGATGGCCTCAACAAAGAGAAGTTTATTCTCTTACAGTCCAGTAGGCTACAAGTCCAAATTCAGGGCGTCAGCTCCAGGAGAACACTTTCTCCATTGGCTCTGGAGGAAGGTCTGTGTCATCAGTCTTCCTTTGGTCTGGGAGCTTCTCTATGCAGGAACCTCAGGTCCAAAGGACATGCTGTGCTCCTGGCACTGCTTTCTTGGTGGTATGAGGTTCCCATGTGTCTCTGCTTGCTTCTCTCTTTTATATCTCAAAAGAGATTGCATTAAGACACTATCTAATCTTGTCAACTTCATCAGTATAACCTCATCACAGTGATAGAATTTACAACACACAAGGAGATCACGTATAATCTCATCATAGTAACAGAGTTTACAATGCATAAGGAAAGCACATCAGATTACACAATCATACAGTACTGTGAATCATGGCACAGCCAAGTTGACAGATATTTTGGGGGGGCACAATTCAATCTATGACACAGGCTATGCATTGAGCTTTCTTCCTCCCTCAATGATTACTAGTCCAGGTTTAAGTGTAGATTCAGTGGGAAGGCAAAGAATAGGCTTTTCTGCTTTCCTTTTCTGAAGCCGTAAGTCCAGAAAACAGCAGCCTGTGGTGACTGCAGCCTCCTTACAAAGGCTCTATATTGAGTTGGTCAGGGTGCAAATACAGAAGAACTTTGCTGGTCGTATTCTTCCAAGCTTAACTACTAGAGAACCTAATAAGAGGAGTGGGTAAGCTGGATAGATAGATAATTTCATTCTTAAATTGAAGAAATTATTTTAGCTATTTTAAGCAACTCAGATTCTCAGGGGAAAACACAACAACTTAAAAAAAACAAAAGACCAATTACAGACCCATATCCCTCATGAACGTAGACACGAATATTCTCAACAAAATTCTAGCCAACAGAATTCAACAACATATCAAAAAAAATAACTCACCATGACCAAGTGGGATTCATACCAGGTGTGCAGGAATGGTTCAACATTAGAAAAACAATCAACGTAATCTATCACATAAATAAAACAGAATAACCACATGATCTTATCAACTGATGCAGAAGAGTTTTTTGACAAAGTCCAACACCCATTCATGATAACTGTCAACAAAATAGGAATAGAAGGGAAATTCTTCAACATAATAAAGGGCATTTATACAAAGCCAACAGCCAACATCATCCTAAATGGAGAGTCTGAAAGTATTCCTCTTGAGAACAGGAACCAACAAGGATGCTTTTTATCCCCACTCTTATTCAACTCTGTGCAGGAGGTCCTAGCCAGAGCAATTAGGCTAGAAAAAGAAATAAAAGGCATCCAAATTGGTAAGGAAGAAGTCAAAGTATCTATTTGCAGACAATATGATCTTATACATAGAAAACCCCGAAGAATCCACAAGAAAACTACTGGAAGTAATAGAAGATTTCAGCAAAGTATCAGGATACGAGATAAACATACAAAAATCAGTTGGATTCCTCTACACCAACAAAGAGAACGTCAAAGAGGAAATCACCAAATCATTACCATTTACAATAACCCCCAAGAAGATAAAATACTTAGGAATAAATCTAACCAGAGACGTAAAGGACCTATACAAAGAAAACTACAAGATACTTCTGCAAGAAACCAAAAGAGACGTACATATGTGGAAAAACATACCTTGCTCATGGATAGGAAGACTCCACATTGTGAAAATGTCTATTCTACCCAAAGTGATCTATGGATACAATGCAATCCCGATCCAAATTCCAATGGCATTTTTTAACGACATAGAGAAACAAATCAGCAAATTTGAGGCCTCGGGTAAGTAAAGCATTACTGAAGAAGAACAAAGTGGGAGGCCTCACACTACCTGATATTAGAACCTATTATACTGCCACTGTAGTCAAAACAGCCTGGTACTGGTACTGTACTGTAACAACAGATACATAGACCAATGGAACAGAATTGAGAATCCAGACATAAATTCATCTACCTGTGAGCAGCTGATATTTGGCAAAGGCCCAAAGTCCATTAACTGGGGAAAAGACGGTCTCTTTAAAAAACAGTGCTGGCATAACTGGATATCCATCTGCAAAAAAATGGAACAAGATCCATACCTCACACCATGCACAAAAACTAACTCAAAATGGATCAAAGACCTAAATATAAAATCTAAAACAATAAAGATCATGGAAGAAAAAATAGGGACAATGCTAGGAACCCTAATACATGGCATAAACAGAATACAAAGCATTACTAATGATGCACAAACACCAGAAGAGAAACTAGATAACTGAGAGCTCGTAAAAATCAAACACTTATGCTCATCAAAAGACTTCACCAAAAGAGTAAAAAGACAACCTACAGACTGGGAAAAAAATTTTGGCTACGACAAATCCAATCAGTGTCTAATTTCTAAAATCTACAAGATACTGCAAAACCTCAACAACAAAAAGGCAAATAACTCAATTAAAAAATGGGCAAAGGATATGAAAAGGCACTTCACCAAAATAGACATTCAGGTGGCTAACAGATACATGAGGAAATGCTCACGATTATTAGCCATTAGAGAATGCAAATCAAAACTACAATGAGATACCATCTCATTCTAACAAGGCTAGCATTAATCCCAAAACAAAAAATAATAAATGTTGGAGAGGTTGTGGAGAGACTGGAACACTTATACACTGCTGGTGGGAATGTAAAATGGTACAACCACTTTGGAAATCAATTTGATGCTTCTTTAAAAAGCTAGAAATAGAAGTACGATACAATCCAGCATTCCCACTCCTTGGAATATATTGTAGAGAGATAGAAATTAGTCAGTCGCAAAAGAAATATTGTATGAGATCACTGTTATAAGAACTCATTAAAAGATTTAAACACAGAAGAAAACATTCTTTGATGGTTACAAGAGTGGGGAAGGAGGGAGGGGGTATTCACTAACTAGATAGTAGATAAGAATTATCTTAGGTGAAGAGAAAGACAAAAAACACTACAAGGGAAGTCAGCACAACTGGACTAAACCAAAAGCTAAGAAGTTTCCTAAATACAACCAAACACTTCAAGGGATAGAGTAGCAGGGGTGGGGGTCTGGGAACCATGGTTTCAGGGGACATGTAGGTCAATTGGCATAACAAAGTTTATTAAGAAAATGTTCTGCATCCCACTTTGATGAGTGGCGTCTGGGATCTTAAAAGGTAGCGAGTGGCCTTTAAGCTGTATCAATTGGTCCCAACACACGTGGAGCAAAGGAGAATGAAGAAAACCAAAGACACAAGGAAAATATTAGCCCAAGAGACAAAAAGGGCCACATAAACCAGAGACTCCATCAGCCTGAGACCAGAAGAACTAGATGGTGTCTGGCTACCACCAATGACCGCCCTGACAGGGAACACAACAGAGAGTCCCTGAAGGAACGGGAGAAAAGTGGGGTGCAGAACTTAAATTCTAGTTTAAGAAGATCAGACTTAATGGTCTGACTGAGACTGGAGGGACCCCAGAAGACATGGCTCCTGGACTCTCTGTTAGCCCAGAACTGAGACCATTACCAAAGCCAACTCTTCAGACAAAGATTAGACTGGACTATGGGACATAAAATGATACTCGTGAGAAGAGTGCTTCTTAGCTCAAGTAGATACATCAGACTAAATGGGCAGCTCCTATCTGGAAGCAAGAAGAGAAGGCAAAAAGGGACAGGAGCTGGCTGAATGGACACAGGAAATTCGGGGTAGAAAGGAGGAGTGTTCTGTCACAGTATAGGGAGAGCAACTAGGGTCGCATAACAGTGTGTGTATAAATTTTTGTATGAGAAACTAACTTGAACTGTAAACTTTTGCTTAAAGCACAATGAAAAAAAAATTATTAAAAAAAAGAACAGTAAAAAACCACCACCACACTCTTCCTGTAGATATCTTTCATACACTCTACAACCTTGTTCTCCAGCACCTATAATTTTGTCTGATCTTCTTTGCAGGTATTTTCTTCAGAAATGTTCAGATATCTTTGTTCCTGAGTTCAATAGTGATTCAGTGGCTCAGGGTGTTAAAGCTACCAACAAGCACTATGGTGACTTCAATGTGAATGGAAGCAAAATCATCTTTTCCAATGGTTCCATTGATCCTTGGTACACTGTGAGAATCACAAAGGATATAAGTGAAGATTTACCTGCTGTCTTCATTAAAGGTAACACAGATATGAATACTCAAAGACCCACAAATAGGATGAAATATACCAGCATGTAATAATAAATTAAGGGGGCAACAATTGTTCAATGGTTGAAATTTAGCCTTTGATAAGGGAGACTGCGGTTGGATTCCCAGCCAATGGACCTCATGTGCAACCACCGCCCATCTGTCGGTGGAGCCTCTGAGTGTCTATGATGCTGAACAGGTTTCAGTTGAGCTTCCAAACTAAGACAAACTAGGTAGAAAGGTGTGGTGATCTATTTCCAGAAATCAGCCAGTGAAAACCCTATGGATCACAATGGTCTGATCTGCAACTAATCACGGGGATGGCACAGGACCAGGCAGCATTTATTGCTGTTGCGCATGAGGTCACCATGAGTTGGGGGCCGACTTGACAGCAGCTAACAACAACATTAATAAATTGCTTTTGATATTGTTATCAACAAGAAATACAAAATCTTCTAAGCAGGTGATAGGTAGTTCATTTAGTCTTCACTAGTATTTCATCACCATGCTTGCATTTAAAATATAACACCTTAAAAAAATACTAATAAGCACAGAAAAGAAAGGTGCATACAAAACGAACCGTTTGTCTACTGTTGTCCTTATTGTTTTCAGTTTGTTTTTTTTTTTTAATAAGTTTATGTGGTTTCAGATAATCCAGTGAGATGAGGTCATTTTCTTTTGTAAATGTAATTACTCATTAAAAGAAGTTATTTTGTCTGAGAGCTCTGAACACTAGATAAATGAGTGTCCCACAGCACAACAACTAGGTTTTTAGAGCAGTAACCTCACTTGAAACACATGATCTTTCCATGTGATCTGTGTTATGTGTAGCGGTTACTAAAATTAGTTGTAAAATAATCTATTTGTAGTACTGGATAAAATGTGTATTCCCACTTCAAAATAAAAACCAAGTGCTTATTATGCTAGTGGGATATGTACAAAAGCTGTTACCATGGTTTCCAGCTTCAAAGCCCCTGGAAGCCTGAAGACTTGGTCAATGAAAAGTTAGAGTCTTAAACATAAAACTTCTACTATTTTAAAAACCTTTCTTAAAGGATAGAAAAAGGCCTCGAGGAGCAGCATTCTAGACAGCGGAAATAGAGCAGATGAATCAACTGCAGAGAGAGATTCAAATGATAATTATGGTTGATTCCCTGATGTTTACCATTTTGTCATTGGCGGGTAGTAGGTTGTTTTACAGGGAAGAGAATATTTGCTTAATATAATGTTCTATTTGATATTTCCTCCATGGTTCTGTATTTTATAATAACGCTAAGTTGAGCAAAAACTTTCAGTTTTCTACCCAGATATTCTTTCCTTTGTGGTATTATTTTTGTACTATGTCCTCAAGGTTACTTTTGTTAAATTATTTTTACAATATTTCAGGCTATCGAAAGTTTTCAGTAATTCAGAATTTCTGTATACAGCAATTCCACCATCCGTTTTTAGTTTGTTGTACTGTGGTGGCTTGCATGTTGCTATGATAATGGAAGCTATGCCACTGGTATTTCAAATACCAGCAGAGTCACCCATGGTGGACAGGTTTCTGCAGAGCTTCCAGACTAAGACAAACTAGGAAAAAAGGCCTGGTGATCTACTTTCATAAATTAGCCAGTGAAATCCTTATGAATCCCACCAGAACATTGTCTGACTTGCTTGCTTTGGATTCATCATCAAAAGGGATCAATTGCTGGAGGATGACATCATGTTTGGTGAAGTAGAGGGCTGATGAGGGCATGGAAGACCCTCAGTTTAGATGGATTGGCACAATAGTTCCAGCAATGGAAGCAAATGTGCTGGTGATTATGAGAATGTCATAGGATCACGTAACATTTCAGTCTGTTGAAAGTAAGGTCACCATGGATCAGAGCTGACTCACCAGCCACTAACAACAACGACAGATATAGAGCAATTCATTTGGAACAAAATACACTTCTATCCCTGAAGACAGCGTTATTTGTACCATTGTGCCCATATGGAGCAGTGGATTAGCATAACAAGAAATAACTTGCTCCCTGTATTGGACCAGTTAACCAGAGCCAACTCTCTAGAGTTGAGACGATAGCAAAGACATGGTCTGCATCTTTTAGTTCTAGTACAGTTATTTTTAGGTCCTTATTAATTTATTGATTATGCATTGTTATCTTCAAAGAGTCCGTCTGGTTCACACATTCTCATCAGGGGCAGTGCCATCACCAAAAGGCAATAAGTGGTTCTTGAGGGTGAAAAATTCTACTTTTTATGTACAAAGTGCAGATGCATATGCAGTACATACAGTATCTGAACATAGTACACAAACAGATAATATAGTGTATCTGGGCTAGTAAATTATCATGGGGAGGAGTGAGTAGGAAAAAATGTCCAACATGGCTCTTTAAGCAGACAATAGTGAAAAAAAAGGCTGAGAAACTCTGCTCTATTTGCATTAAAAGGGATTAAATTAAGTATTTCTATTTGTACATCTCAGGAAGATAACTATAATTGCAAAGTTGTCAATAATATTTTAGTACTTCAACGGTTACTCTTATTGGCTTTTATTTTTTCTTTGGTCCCTATTCAGCCAGCTTGGCCTCAACTGTCCAGCTGTGATAGCAATAGGTCAAATTAGTGTAGGTATTGTAAATGTACTAATTATAATTACAATAACTGGATTTTTTACCTAAATATCTGTAACATCATTTAAAACTCATTTTATTTTATTTTATTAAGTTTACAGCTCAAGTTAATTTCTCACACAAAAATTTATACACATATTGTTTTGTGACATTAGTTGCAATCCCCACAGTGTGACAGCACACTCCCCCTTTCCACCCTGGGTTCCCTGTGTCCATTCAACCAGTTCCTGCCCTTTCTGCCTTCTCATCCTGCCTCTGGACAGCAGCCATCCATTTGGTCTCATGTATCTGATTGAACTAAGAGACACACTCCTCACATGTATTATTTTTTGTTTTATGTTGTTGCTGTTAGATGCTGAGTCCTGTCTAATCTTTGTCTGAAGAATGGGCTTCAGGGATGGTTTTAGTTATGGGTTAGTAGAGTGTCAAAGGGCCATAGTTTCGGGGGCTCCTCCAGTTTCTGTCAGACCATTAAGTCTAACCTTTTTAATTAATTTGAGTTCTACTCCACACCTTTCTCCCATTCCATCTGGGATTCTCTGTTGTGTTCCCTGTCAGGGCGGTCATTGGTAGTAGCCAAGTACCATCTAATTCTTCTGGACTCGGGCTGGTGGAGTCTCTGGTTTATGTGGTCCTTCAGTCTCTTGGGCCAATATTTTCCTTGTGTCTTTGGTTTTCTTCATTCCAATTTGCTCCAGGTGGGATGGGACCAATTGATGCAGCTTAGATGGCCATTTGCTAGCTTTTAAGACCCCAGACACCACTCATCAAAGTGGGATGCAGAACATTTTCTTAATAAACTTTGTTAAGCTAACTGACCTAGATGTACCCCAAAGCTATGGTCCCCTGGCCCCCGCCCCATAAAAGTCATTTTAAATGAAATATGACAATGCATGAAATATTTAAGAAAATTCTCATATTATTAGGCAACTGCTTAAAGGAGGGAAATTCTCAGTGAAATGGATTGACACAATACCTGGAAAAATGGATTCAAATAGCCCAATGATCATGAAAATGGCTTAGAACCAGGCATCATTTCATTCTCTTTTCTCCAGGAGTTGGAGCTAACTTGAGGGCAACTAATAATAAATAACAACAACATGCACAATGCACAGAGATTCAGTAGTAAAAAAACAAACAGACAAAACTAACAAACAATTTCCTCCCTATCAAATTATCTTATATATTATAAATTTATGTAATTATAATTATAATAACTTAAATCATAACTGGCATAGCTTTCAGCATCATAGAAACACACAAGCTACCACTCTCCGCCAAACCGACAGATGGTTGAGGGACACATGAGACAGCTTTGGAAAATATTAAGGAAGAAGACAGTGGGGCCCAGGAGTGATCTTTCAATTATTTCAACATTATAAATCCAGAGAAACAAACTCAAGTGGGCAGAAGGTTGCTGGAAAGCCAGGAGAGTGTTGTGTCAACAGCTCAAGATGGTGGGAGTGTTGGGTGGACTGTTACTGAGATTTCAAGTAATAAAAGAACGACAGAACAGCCCTTGGATTTACTGACCTGGGCCTCTCTCTCATTGAGTGTTACTCTGGATGACTCGTAGAAGTAAGGATAAAATACACTGAGACAGATAAGATGAAGAAACGGAAGCAGCAAGCATAGACATCTCAACTGTGAGGGGCAGAAGAGAAAAAGAGCAGCTGCTAGAAAAGGGAATTGGGTTAAGGAGGAAGACCCACCCTGTAGAGGGGAGGCAGGAAGGGAAAGCGTCCATCTGGCACATGGAGGACGGGCCTTCACATGTGGTCTGCTGTAACAGGAGCAAAGAAAAATGAGGGAAAACACAGTAGGTTTATAGACTTGGTGGCTGCAGTTTGAGAAAGTTCCCTGGTTGGAAATGCCATTCTTACAAATATCCAACCCATATCAAGAACACTCTCAAATTCCTGCTACCTAGCCCTGAAACTTCTCTGTATCTTCTCCTGGAACAATTCAAAAGACATCTAACCATATCCCTCATCTACTCTCACTCCAGCTAACCCAACAAGTTCTCTCACTCTCGTTGCGTGTGTGTGTGTATGTGTGTGTGTATGTGATAGTGTATGTGACAATACTAACCAATTTTTGCCCAAAGTCCTATCATATGAGAAGGAAGAGATCATTTTGGTCTTCTAATGAAAACAGAACCGCACGAGTCTGTCAGTTTGTCATACTGTGGGGACTTGCATGTTGCTGTAATGTTGGAAGCTTTACCACTGATACTCAAATACCAACAGGATCACCCATGGCAGACAGGTTTCAGCTGAGCTTCCACACTAAGACAGACCAGGAGGAAGGGTCCGGCAGTCTTCTTCTGAAAAGAATTAGCCAGTATAAACCTTATGAATAGCAGCAGAACATTGTCTGATATAGTGCAGGATTATGAGCCCCTCAGGTTGGAAGGCACTCAAAATACAACTGAGG